CGACGCGTGCATCTGGGAGACGCTGCGGTCCTGCATGGGCGGCTTCAGCGAAACCGACTCGCTTCACGCGTGGTCCATCGCCACCTTGCCGGCCGTGCATGGCGGACTGGGCCTGCAATCCGCAGAGCGCACAGCCCCCGCGGCGTACTGGGCGGCCTGGGCGGATGCGCTGCCCGTGATCAATGCTCGCGCGCCCGACTTCGCACACAGATGCCTCGCTGCACTCGAGAGCCGCGGCGGAGAAGCTGCATGCCTTCGCGAAGCGGCGGCGGCACGGGATCTTTTGCAGCAGGAGGGATGGCGCGACTGCCCTGCCTGGAGCTCTCTCCTGCAAGGCACGCGCCCAACCCCGGCAGACGACGCAGGCCCCGGGGACTGGCCACATGGTTGGCAGATGCACGCTTCGCGCACTCGCAACACCCACTTTCGCGAATGCGTGCTACTGCCAGACATGTCGCCCAGTTCTCAGGCGCTTCTGCGGTCCCAGGCTGGGCCACAGGCGGGCGCTTGGCTCGCAGCGATCCCCACTGAGCCGGCCACAACGCTACCACCTGCCGCGATGCAAATCGCCTTGCGACGGCTGTTGCGGCAGGTGTTGCCTCTGCGCGGGAGGACTTGTGGCCCGAGTCCTGGGTGCGGCGCAGTTGTTGACGCTCTCGGTGACCATGCGCTTGCCTGCCCCCGCACGGGCCTGCTGGCCAGGCGGGCCAAGGTCGTAGAGCGCGCGTGGGTCCGGGTCGCGAGAGAGGCGCTGGGGGCTGAAGGGCAGGTCGTGCCACAGCAATGGTTGGCCCACACCACGGCGCCAGGCGTGGCAGCAGAAGACAGGCGCCGCCTCGACCTCGTCGTGTACGGCGCGACACGCAGTGGCGGAGCCTTGTGTTGCGACGCTACGCTCGTGTCTCCCTTGACGCGAACGGGACACCCACAGCCCTGTGCCGCGGTGGTCGACGGAGCAGCACTCAGGGTAGCCGAACGCCGGAAGCTCACTACCTATACCCGGAGCTTTCCCGCGGCGGGCCGCAACAGCTCGTCGTGTTGGGTTCGGAGGTGGGCGGACGCTGGAACGAGCAGGCTCGCACTTTCGTGCGGGACCTCGTCCGGTTGAAAGCTCACCGGGCCCCGCCCACACTCCGCGCAGCGGCGTCAGGTGCTTGGGCGAGGCGCTGGTGGGGCATGTTGTCCGTGGCGGTGCAGCAGGCCGTCGCCAGCACAGCCTTGGGCGGCTGGGTGCACCCCCTGCAGCCCGAAGCCTGCGATGGCCCACCGCTGGACACCTTGCTCCACCATGAGGCCCCCGCCGGCCAGAGCCGCCTGCCGTTGAGGCCCTGACAAGGGGCGTAGCGTAGTCTGTCCTCTGTCGGGTAGCTTAGTCAGCTGCGACCGCGGCTGCAACCGCTTTCGCTCGGCAGCTGGTGTACAGCAAATCGATGAAATCGTTTTCTGCATTGGTCTACATGTTTTTTTTTGTTTTTCACGCGTTGGAAGTGGTGTCGGAAGCGCTTTTGAAAATTGGTTTGCAACTCCATCTGCAAAAAACTTGCTTTGAGGCCGAAGCGACGAAGCTTGCATCGCCAATGTATTTGGATGTGCATAGAGACATGATATCGGTTTTGCACGGTAAAAATCAACATCCTTACTTCGGACGTTTATTGTGTGGCAATCTCCGTGAGCGTGCGGCCGTTAATTTTTCACACCGTATTCGTGTTGCATGGCACAAATGTATACAAATTTCATTCACATCTGCAAAGCTTGCTGAACAAACATACGTCGTTGAAGAACAGGGTGAAGCTGGGTCAAGCGTTGTGACTCCGGCGGTACTGCTTGGACTACTGTATCAACGTCGCCATTTACTGAAACAGGCCGGAAGCCGCTACGTTCGCTGCGACTCACCTTGATTGGATGCATTGTGCTGCATCGTCGCCCGAATGGCGTGCGTGGCAACGCTTGTTCATATTTGGCTCGCCGAGCGAAAATCGTCGAGCGGGCCTGGGTGCGCGTAGCCCGCGAGGCGGTCGGCTCTGATGGGCAAGTCGTCCCTCAACAATGGCTCGTGCACACTACCGCACCGGGCGTGCCAGCTGACGACCGCAGACGGCTCGACTTAGTCGTCTACGGCGCCACGCCGCGGGGAGGCGCACTGTGCTGCGATGCGACTCTCGTCTCGCCTCTCGCACGGACGGGGCATCCACAGCCGGGAACCGCTGATACGGACGGGGCCGTGCTCAGGGTAGCGGAACGCCGCAAACGGAGCACCTACCCGGAGCTCAGCAGGGGAGGACCGCAAGAGCTCGTTGTTCTGGGCTCGGAAGTTGGCGGGCGCTGGAACAGCGAGGCTGGCCGTTTCGTGCAGCACCTCATCCGGGTCCGGTCCCAAAGAGCTCCGCCAGCTCTTCGCCGCGCGGCCGCTGCGGGCTGGTCGCGCCGTTGGTGAAGCTTGCTGGCTGTTGCCGTGCAGCGGGCGGTCGCCAGCACGGCACTGGGGCAGGCTTGGCCAGTGCCGCTCCACCCGCGTCAGGGGGATGAACCGCCCTTTGAGCGAGTGCTCGAGCTCGCCGGACCAGCGGCGGGCCCCAGTCGCTTGCCGCTGCGTTCGTAGCAGTTGGCAGCGACGATCCTGCATAGCCGTAGCGACGGTAGTCAGCCTGCCTCTGGCAGCGTGCAGGGACAGCCGGCTTGCAGGCGGAAAAGAGGCGCGTAAAAAATAAAATAAAAATAAAATTAGCAGTGCATATGCTTTTCCTGACAACCCCCATGACCATTCAGGACCGTGATCTTGGACTCGACTCGAATGGGCGCAAAGCAACACAAAGCTCTTTCGCAGCAAGCGTGCCACTCGCACGGCCAATGTTGTCTGCGCACGCGCTTTTTGCAGTTCTTGGCCCCAGACGGTCGCCTTGGCTTTGAACGTGTGAGGGGGCCGCGTTGTTTCGGACGTCGGTAAAGTCGGGGAGAAATCCACCGCAATAAGCCGCCATGCAGAGGCAGCTAACCGGCTAACCTTGCACGTCAGTCTTGCATGTCGGCCGGCCGGTTCCCCACTCAAAGCTGCTTCCGCCCGCGCTCGCGACGCAAAAGTTAAGACATGTGTGTGTGTGTGTGTGTGTGTGTGTGTGTGCTGGAGGTGAGCCGCCTTGCGTATCGCGGAGCTGCGGGCGGACCAACCGTTCAGACACCGTGGGCTGGTTGTGTCACGCCCAATCGGGCACCCACTCTTAATCGCAACAGCTGCGCCAGCTCCCGCAGCCTTTTGATCAGCACTTCCTGTGGTTTTTCCTCGCGAGGTGCGATGCGGGCGACGTTGGAGCTTTCGCGGTTCGGGTTTGAATTATGCACGCCTTCACGCTAGATGGCATGCATTGGGAGGTGGCCGGTGTTCCACGAGCGCGTCCCGTCTAGACACACGAAGCTGTGCAGAGGCTGGCAGGGAAGCATGCCATGCTGTCCGCCACGTCTAACAGATGAGGGTTTCGGCGACTGGCCGCATGGCTCGAAGCAACGTGCATCACAATCGCGGTTGCCCGATAATTTTCAGCGGCTTTCAGTCGCAGGTTGGCTCTCAAGCCAGAGCATGGTCGAGCGCCATAGCGGTTTGTTGGCCTGCGGGCCTGCGGGGTGAAAATCTTGGGAAGGGCTAGGGTAGGTGTGGCCTGGGAGGTTGGTCCCCAAGCAGTGGTTTGCACATACCACCGCTTGTCGCGGAGTGACGCAAACTTGCACCCGGAGATTGGCCCGCAACAGGTGTTGCACGACGTCGAACACAGCAACAGCAGATGTTGGTCTTGACATGATTGTCAGGGCTTCCTTGTGCTGCAGGAGCTGCATTTTGGTTCAGCAATATCGGGTTGTGATGTCAACAAGCCTAGTTCATGTCGTTTTGCCACAGCTATCAACATTTGCTTCTTGCCAGGAGGCTTGTAACTTTGCATCATGAGTGAGCCAAATGGCCTCGTCTCGGGTGCTCAACTTCGCTACCAGACAACTTGAAACTTGTAGGCCAAGCTGCTGACAACGTTTGTAAGCTTTGGAGCTCATGCGCGGCCAACTCATTGAGAAGTAGCTTCCAGCTGGTCCATACAGGAGCTGCTGATTTGCTGCATTTTGCTGCTTGCATTTTGTGGTGTGAGTTCATCCAACCTTACTCATCCATGCCTTTGTGACGACACCGGCCAGGAGTGGTTCTTCACGCCGGACGCCATCATGTCGTGGATGCTACTATGCCGCATCGACGATTTTGAATTCTGATTGTACCAATGAACATTCCCTGTGGTTTCGAAACTTAGGCGCTAATGTGTGGAAGGCGTAACAAGGTATGTTAAAGAATGTGTGGCTTCTGAGGCAAACCACATCACATTTTTTGGTTACGCGCTTTGTGCCATGTGTTGTTTCATATCAGGCTGCTGTTGAAAATTCAAATGCTGGCAGCCGGCGGATTGTCTTTGTATTCGGTTCGGCCGCAAGCTTTAAATCGCAATGTGTAACTAGTCCAACGGAGCAACCACCGACCGCATTCGGTTTCCCATTATACACTCCTACACTCTGGGCATAACTCTCGCGTACTGGCTTATTGCAGAGAGCCGATTCCTAGGCCTCGTTCGTTTGAGGATGTCACAGATTGGATCCCTGTCATCATCACTTGTTCGGGGAGGTTTTGGAGTTCAGCTTTTCGGGTTTAGGAGTCTATAGGGCTTAGTCCTTGAGGAGGCTATCAAACCACCGAGTTTTCGGTGACCCTCATAAGTCAAGATTTCCATTGTGACCCGAGTTTGTTTTCAGGCCTGGCGGAGTCGTTCGGCCACCAGGAGTTGTTCCTCCAAAAAACAAATCCCTCGGTCAAGGTGGGAAGGGTTGTTAGTTTTGATTTTGCATGTCGGAAAGCTGCTGTTGAGACTGTGTTGCCGTTCTGCGAGTATGTGAGCATCGTTGGCTAAAGGGTGAAATCTGTGTTATGTTCATTTGTGCCAGGGAACGAAGTGCCTCCGAAAGCACATGCCGGTGGCATGGTGCCTGCCAAATTTCAGAGGCTTGCCTGATGTACTGGATACTTTCTGACCACAAGGGAGTGGCTATGTCATGATGCAGCAAAGCCACGGCATGATGCGCTGTCGCTAGCAAATACATGTCCCATGAAAATATCGACAGCTCAGGATTCCTTCAGCGGGTGCTCCGAAACCGCTGATCATCCCAAAGCCGCTCCTCACCCCGAAACCAGCCCTCACCACACCCAAGCCAGTGGTTACACCGCCACCGGGCCACTCGGCGTCATTTCAATTTGTCCGCGTTCTCTCCTTTCGAGTTTGTGTTGCTGTGGCGGTTCCTGAGGCGGTGTGGTGCGCCCGAAGTTGCAAATTCCAGGTGGTCCGAAGCCTCCATCCGTCGCACCTCCACAGGGTTTGATGCAGAGCATGCCAAAGCAACCAGGGGTTATTCCCCCAAAGGTTGCTGGAAGCGCATTGCCAGCCAGACCTGTGGCTGTGGCTGCCCTGGCGGACGATCAATATGATTGGTCCGGAGGATGGCAAAATGGCGGTAATGGATGGGATTCTGGCGGATGGGACGACTGGAACACAGGTCAAGGCAAAGGAGGTGGAGGCAAGGGGAAGGATGGCAAAGGCAGGCGGGGGAAGGGCAAGGGGAAAGGCGACGACTTGGAAGTCGTTGTCAAGGGATTCCCTTCCACCACTGACGAAGCCAGCCTAAGGGCTTACTTCACATGTTGTGGAGAGATCACTCGTATCAGCATACCTCGTGCCAAAGACGGCTTGCCCAAAGGTGCGGCATTTGTGGGCTTTCAGACTCAAGAGGGAGTGAACGCCGCTTGTTCTTTTGACAAGTCCCTCTTCATGGGCGTTAGCTTAACTGTCCGGCCAGCAAGTGAGAAGCACGAGGGAGGAGGCAAGAGGAAGAGCAACGACGACTTGACCATCGTCATCAAGGGATTTCCCGATCATGCAGATGAAGCATCCCTGACGGCATTCTTTTCGTCTTGCGGCGACATTGCCAGGGTCAACCTGCCTAGGAACAAGCAGGATGGCACATTAAAGGGCGCTGGATTCATAGAGTTCAAGACGCAGGAAGGTTTTAACACCGCTTCTCGTCAGCATCTTCAGAGATTCGGCACATTGAGCGTTCTGGAATAGTGTTGTGGCCTCACTTTCTGTGCCTACCTGGTCTCGAGGCTCTCACTTATGACAACTTCTTGTACATGGGTGCCCCGCTTCGGGTGAAACACGCTTCAGACAAGAGCAAGGGCGGCGGCAAAGGGAAGGACAAGGAAGATGAACTCACCGTCGTTGTGAAAGGTGCCAGCCTCAGTTTTGCGACGGCTCCGACTTGGTTCTCCCGAATCCCGGCGGGAACTTGTGCAGGGAACTTGCCTTTTCCAAGGTTTCCCGTCAGAGACCAACGAAGAAATGCCGCCGAGTGCATATGGAAAATATGTCTTTTCATTTTCGTGTCGTGTAACCCAACCTTGCCACGGCATCCGAAACTCGATGCTCAAAATCCCAAACCATGAGAGTCGAAATTTCAAACCTTTTCAGCCGAAACCCTCAAACCGTAATGCGCCCACATACCCCCGACATCCCGAACAGAAACCGTGTGAAACACTCACGGCGTACTCCCCACCTAAAACCCGTGCCAAGCACAGAGCTTGTATAGCTTCCCTAAGCCCTAAGAGGCAGAGTAGAGCCTACCATGAAGAGCTTTCAACAGAACCCCCAAACACTCCCTAAATCCTGCACGCAGGAAGCCAAAAGGTTCCAACCGCCCAGGTTGAACAGCGCTTTCTCGCCGTGTGGCGAGATCGTCCGCTTGAATTTGCCTCGCGGAGCAGATGGCATGCCTAAAGGCCAGGCAATCAGCAGTAAACGAAAACAGAATAGTGCGAATAGTAGTCATGGTTGCCATGATAATGATAGCGGCAGTAGTATTGGTGGTAACTGGAAGTCATCATAACTAACAAGGTTAAGAACATTAGTTGTATAATTGCTTGTTACTATGCATTCTTCTTGCTAGTAGTGGTAGTAGTAGCAGTAGTAGCAGTAGTAGTAGTAGTAGTAGTAGAAGTCGTAGTAGTAGTAGAAGTAGAAGTAGAAGTAGAAGTAGAAGTAGTAGTAGTAGTAGTAGTAGTAGTAGTAGTAGTAGTAGTAGTAGTAGTAGTAGTAGTAGTAGTAGAAGTCGAAGTAGTAGTAGAAGTAGCAGTAGCAGTAGAAGTAGAAGTAGTAGAAGTAGAGGTGGTAGAAGGAGAAATAGCAGTAGTCGTCGTAGTAGTAGTAGTAGCTAGTTAGTTGTTGAATTCACAGAAAGTCATAGAGTCATAGTATTTCATAGAGTCAGAAAACCATACCAAAAGTAAAGCTTCGTGTGTCAGTGTATGCGGGTCTCTTGTTTTTTTCTGTCTTGAAATCCTCTCGCACCATATATTTGTGTTCAAATTGCCGAGGCCCGAATACTTTCACAAACCTGTTTGTATGTTCTGATCCTAGTACGCATACCAAGACATGTGCTCTGTCAGTGAAGAACTTCGAATGGCGAAGTCATTTTCTGTAGGGTTGTCTAGGATGCAAGTATAGACACCAATGTGCAATTGTGCCCGAAGCCAACGTGGCTTGTGACAATTTGTCGTGGTGGTAAGGAGTAACATGCACAAAGTTGCCGAGCCAGGCACCGCCTTCATTCAGTTCACAGCTGACGAGATGGTCCAGAGGCATTGACCCAGAATCTTGCCGGTTTCTTGCGAGGAAGTCTCAGACAGATGCTGAGTCACACTACCGGTTCCATGTTCCACATCCCAAAGTATGAATGCGCAGGGCAACAGAGCTCAACGGCACGGATTTTTTCGGGGCGGGCAAGATTAGCAACTTGGCAGCAATACAAGGGCTTCCTTTGTATTAAGTCACACAACACGATATAGTCTTATCCTGTCTTACACCATAGCTCCTATTGCTATACTATGCCGGGCCGACACTTCGATGCCCCTTTCCTTGAAGTTGTTGGCTTCGGGCGAATTCCCCCGGCTTTTGTTCTAGAGTCACCCCATCGGGCTCTTGAAGTCGCGAAAAGAGGCAGAGCTTAAGGCCAGAGCTGATTTGTAGTGAACCCCAGAAAGCTGGAATGGAACTAGGATGATTAGTGCTGGGATTCCCTATCTCTACTTAGTATCTGTACTTTTAGGGCATGAGGATAATATAGGATAATTATGTTTCATCTTTCTGGCTTTTACTGTATAGGCCTTGTAGGGCGTAGGGTTCAGGGCTTGGCTCGACTTTTTGTTGTACATGTCTTTGACTTGCAGGGATAGGGATGGATAGGGGTGTGTTATTTGCTTGGCGATGCGTTCTGGCTTGGCTATAGGACTTTGTTTTACGGTTTGTGGACGATACGTTTAGTTTCTAGGATGGATGCAGAAGTCTGCCAAGATCAGTGCCTGCAGATGTCCCCGCTTCGTGAGACAAACACCACAGACGAACTCAGGTGTGCACCGTGCGACAGACAAGGGCAAGAGGGGCGAGAAGAACGACGACCACACTGTGGTGTCTTGAATGCTCAATGCTCACAAGATGAGCAGCAACAACAATAAGAACATGGTTTGCGCCCATGAAATGCATAAATGCATTACAACATCAAGAACACATATGGCAATACTTATCAGTATGAGCGACATCAACACCCCGGCTCTCCTTATATTCGTCATCGTGATCACGACGACTTCAGCAGATTCAGTGTAGTCCTCTGACCACCTTCGTTTCGCCATGCGGGGGCCGATAGACCCAAGCCTTCTGACACATGGCATACAGAAATCATCAGTTTGAAGGCCTTTGCGTCCCAGGAAGGCCTTTACGTACCTTGAGCCATATTTGGTTTCAGGTGGTTCGAGGTCTTCCTGACTGGCTGACGGAAGCGCAGCTGAAAGCCGACTTCGCAACCTGTGGACTATTGAAGCGGGCTTCAATGCCCTCTGGTAAGGACGGCAAAGGAAAGGGATTTGTCCGAGACTCAGGGCGAATGTTTGGTCATGTAACAGGGCAGAGCTGTCTTGCTGCGCCGGTTGCCCAGGGCTGGGTTTGGGATGTTTTGGGGGAGGCATGTCCCTTTTGGAAGGCTGACTGCCTTTAGATGCATAACATTCTGAAGAGGCATCGGAAGCGTCCGTCGGCTTCAGTTGTGAAGCGAAACAGTGTTGGAGCGAAGGGAAAACACCAGGCCACACAATGATTCGAAGCCATGCTTTTCACGAGCCCGGCTAAGCTTGTGCGGACGCCACAAATTTGTGTTTCGCTGGTTAGAGTAGCCTTGAGGCTAGCCTAGATGATGTCGACCAGGGTGACGGAAACGGCAGGGGCGAGCGAATCCGTCCACGGTCATGGCTTTAAGACATGTGACTGTAGCTCGCCAAGTATCCCACTTGGGTCTCCACTTGGACTCCAATCCTTTGTTTCAAGGCATATGTGCAGTACAAGAACGACGAGTCGATGAAGAAGGCCATGGAGTGGAACAACACCTGGTACAAGGGTTCCAACATCACGGTGGAGAAGTTGGGCGAAGAATCCAAAGGCACGGATCCAAGATCCTTTCAGCTGTCAAGTGCCCCTAGATAGTTATTTTGTTAAACGGCTTTTCTGGCACCTTCTGCAGGAAAGGGCCGAGGTCGACGGGGAAGAGAAAAGAAGGAAAAGCTTCCAGAAGGACCTACGGTTCATGTTGGCAGCCTGTCCTACGAGGCCTCCCGGCTGAAGGATGCTGAGGTGCTTTGCGGGGTTTCGGGTATAAGGTTTACAATTTTGGGGTTGAAGGCTTCGGAGTTTGCAGTTCCGGGGTCTAGGGTTGAGGGTTAAGGCCTCTGGGGATTGCCTTGGCCCAGATGCAAAAACAAGGGTTGCCTGGCATTGGCAGAATCGAAGTCATCAGTGATTTGGCGCCCCTCGCTGTACGAGATGTTTCTTGCTTGCCTGACATATCTGTCCATGCCCGAGGTTGACGATGAGACTCTCGGCGAGAAACTAGCTGCCGAGACTGACATGCATCCGAATGCCTCTGCTCTTTCACATTCGGCTAGTTGTTCTTTGGGGACGACGCGGGGAGCGACATCTCGCGTCCGCGAAGTCGCACAAAACGAGCGCACATGCCTGAGGATGTTGAAACAAGCCTTCTCTGCGTGCGGAGAGGTGGTTGCGAGCCGAGCCACTATGCTGACAGGTGTTGCTTTAAGCAGAAGCAGTCAGGGCTTCCGGGCGGTTGTGATTGACAGCAGGTCCCATATGCAGTTGAAGACTCTGTCAATCCCAGTGGTCTCCCGTGGCAAAAAAAGCACGATACTGTAGAACTTGTTTGCCGTTTGTTGTTTGTCACGAGACCGTGTCCTTTTGTCAGCTGAGGTCTTCGTGAGCGGCAAGGGCAAGTCCAAAGGCAAGTCTCGCGGCAGTGGTCCCTCCATTGCATCCATGGACAGTTGGGCCACATGTAATTGAGGTGCGAGGGGAACTTTTTTCGGTCCGTGCAGATTGGCAAAGCTGCACAGGAAAGAAAGGTCACAGGGAATTACAACATGCTTCAATGCTCGGAACCATGCGAGAGCTCTGTCGTTCATTTCAAGGCGTTTTGAGGCTCAGTGGCACATTCAGTACACTGGGCATCATTGCACGCAGCGATTGCTATTCTCGAGACAGTGACTGACCTTTTGTGCGGTCTTGCTGTGGGTCTCAGTATGGTATTCACACGCACAGGAGGGCTGTCTTTGTTGGGAGCTTTGTGATTTTCGATACCTTGCCACTCGCCGAGATGTGCAACATCCATCTTCAGCTCTCGCCTTTGCTCGGGACGCATGCGCTAAAGTTTGCCAGACGCTACACCAGGTTTGGTCGTGTTCGCCACGGAGGAAGCCCAGAAGAAGGCAGTGGCAACGATGAATGAGGCCGCATGTCTGCCCGAAGCCGGGAATGCGGGTTCCGCTGGCTTCGCCTACGCTAGAAGTCTCTAGCTATGTCTGATGGCTTCTTGGACTAGATTGCCTTGTCGTTGGCTTGTCGAAGCGACGGGAGTGTCGAGCGGCATAGTCAACACGTGGCTGCTGCTTGAACCAAATCAAACCCGAGCCTTCTGCTCCATCGATGTTGGTTCGTCGGAGCAATCAATGCACCATCCCTGCAAGGTTGAACTGGCAGGTCGCAACATCACGGTGCGTGAGTACACTCAAGAGGAAGAGGCGCATCCAACCGGGTTGGGAGACGCAAGTCCCAAGCGCTGGCTGACGACTCCACCTGACGCAGGTGAAGCTGGACTTCAGTGCCTTGGAGGGAGAAGGAGACAAGACCCTGCTGGAAGAAGAAGAGGAAGACGTCCCTTGCCCGACAATGGGTTATGCATGCGTTGTGTGTGCTTGATGACGGAAACGTCGTGGCTCTGAGACAGCGGCTTTTCACGTCCCATGCCATGTTTGTTTGCAAGGACTGGGAGAATTTTGACTGGGATGCTGAGAATGACGATGGCTCCGATGATGACGACGAGGCCGTCCCTTTCATGATGGTGCTTCAAAGGCAGCGCACCTCCATGAGCCAGTGCTGAGGATGAAGACGACGACGAATGGGAAGAACGGGAAGAAGAGGATGAGGGTGAGGCACCCGATACGTTGTTACGCGGGGCGACCAGGCTTTAACCACGGGGACAACCACTACGAGCGGACATGGCAGGGCACAGATGTGAGCACGCCCTGTGACGAGCAGCGGCATTTCATTTGGATGTATGGTGTGATGAACAGACAAGCAGCGCTTCGAGAAGCAAGAACTACGATAACAAAACTACTACTACTACTACTACTACTACTACTACTACTACTACTACTACTACTACTACTACTACTACTACTACTACTACTACTACTACTCACCGCCGCCGCCGCCGCCGCCACCACCACCACCACCACCACCACCACCACGACCACGACCACGACCACGACGACGACGACGACGACTACTACTACTACTACTACTGACTACTGACTATTGATTACTGACTACTGACTGCTGACTACTGACTACTGCTACTGACTACTGCTACTGGTCCTGGTCCTGGTCCTGCTGTTTCTGCTTCTGCTTCTGCTGCTACTGCTGCTGCTGTTTCTGTTACTGCAAGTTGCCACTGCTCCTGCTCATGCTACTGCTACTGCTAGTACTCCTCCTGCTGCTACCGCTCCTGCTGCTTCTGCTCCCGCTGCCGCTGCTGCTGCTGCTGCTACCGCTAGCACCACCACGACCAGCACCAGCACCACCACCGTTAGCAGCGTGCCAAGTAGGCGACAAATCCAGCAATACTGTACCTCTTGTTGCTGTAAACCGGAAAAATACCAGAGTTTAGGCAACCACAGTCTGCAAGACGCGAAGGCGGAAGGCGGTGGCACGGCAGAGGAGGCTCCGCAGCAGTCGCAGGTGCCCTGCGACCCTGGATTCACAGAATCGTGTTGGGGTTTAGGGTTCTGAGGGCTTTCCTCACTCGCAGGGAGGCACTTCAGAGAGACTTGGTTCACAAAGATTCTTCGTCAGTCAGTGCTGAGTGACTTTGAATGTAATGGCCGGTACAAAAGGTACATTATATTGGCTCTGCCAGTCTGCAACTTCATGCCCCCACCCGTGCTTCCGTGTTCTTGCGTATGCGCCTGTGTACGCGTTTCTATAGCTGTCCGGGCTTCTGTAATCCGAAAGATTCGGAACAGCACCACGTATCCGATCATGCCGACAGCCTGCATTCACGTCACGGGCAAGGTGTGTCAGAATGTGACATTTGCTTGCCGGCAAGTTTGCTCGGCTTCCAGTCTCCTGGGACTTCCTAAGCAGGCAGTGCCGGCAGTGTCGTCAGAGGCGCCGGACGTCCAGCCGCAAGTGCCCACGGACCCCTGCAGATTTTGAGGGTCTGGCTTTACGTTTGTGGGGCCCGTTGAGCCGGGCTGATGGAGCTTCATGCACCTTCCTGGCCGTTTACCATCAGCTGCCCCGTGTTAGTCTAGAGTTTTCGCTTGGGTCTTCAGGGTTTAGTTTAGGGTTCAGGGTCACGGTTTTGTTGCGGCTGGAGTGGTCACGACGACCAAGAGGTAATTGGAACCAATCGACCTAAATCAAGGCAACCCATGTCACCCTTCAGCCTGCGCTGAACACCCTCCGCAATTCTAAAAGCAATCTTCGGTATGCGGAGGACATGGACACCTCGCAGGCTGTCTCAGTGCCCGCTGACGTCGCTGCAGCTGCACCACAGGTGACCCGAAGTTCCAAAGGACGAGAAAGGTTAGGGGTTCATGAGGGTTCAAGGGTGTAAGCAAGGCTTTCTCGCATGCTTGCTCCCAGCCCCAATGCTCTAAACGCCAAACCGATCAGGGAGAGACTGGACTATTTTCGACGTTGGCGTTGACGGCATTGGTTTCCCCTGTCGGCTGTCTCTTCGGAGCCGTCTAATTCAGTATAGTACACCTTGCGCACTAGGGCATCGCTGTCGGAGGTGCTGCTGTTTCGAGGGGCTGGCCCAAGTTAGTTGTCAAACCTAAGCAGGCACCGATGGAGGTGGCACAATCGGACGCGGCTCCGGCAGATGGAGGCAGGGCTTACATCGTTGAGGGATTTGAGCTGTTTTGGGGCATAATATCGCACCGTACCAGTTTGTAACTACAACCGTGCAGTAGAAAGTATACCGATCTGGCCATCCTTTGCCTACATCACGGTGAGCTTCAAGACTTATCGGGTCGAAGGTCCTGATGGCTTGTTTGCTTTGTCGTGGCAGTGAACCACTTTGGTTGGCAGGTGAAAAGCCCAATGAGCGGGAGAAGCGCCGCAGCCGTAGCCGCAAGCGCAGCAGGAGTCGGAAGAGGAGACGTTGTGTTGAATGCGACACCATGTGGCTTGCGTCGTGCGGGTGCAGACATTGCGGCATCCATGCATGTCTTCTGCATGCACCCATAGTGGCCATTTTCATCTGACCCTCCTTCCATCCATTCGTGCGCGCATACATACATTCATCATTCATTCACCCGTCAGTTTATGAGGGCAGAAATGCTTGCTTGCCTGCCTGCTTGCTTGGTTGTTTGCTTCCGTCAGTCATGCATCTCACTTTCTCGCATGCATACAGGCATGCACACATGTGCGCATGCCCTGCCAAGCCGCACAACCGTCCAGAGAGTCGGCCGTGTAGTTGTGAGAAAGTTAGGCAGCTGAGCGTCTCAGCCGTGCATTGGAGAAAGCCTTGCAAAGTCGTTTCATACTATCATTAGTAGCGTTATACATAATGATAGTAATAACCATACCAACAGCCATAACAACCATTACAGTAACCACAAGAGTCACCATTGTCGTGGCTCTCTGAATCTTCCATTGCCCTCGGCTGCCCGCTTTGGCCGAGAAGGAGTCGTAGCCCCCGCCGCCCCCGACGGGCACGGCCAGCCGAACCACCGGCGGAAGAGGCAGGGTTTAGGGTTTAGGGCTTATAAGCCCTCAGTTTCCTTTTTTCAGGGGTACCCGGCAGTCGCAATAGGCCTGGATGCAAAAGGGTATGTACGCCCTTTCTCTATGTCGTGGCTCCGGCACTTGGCTTCAAGCAGTTGTCAGGTGGAGCTGACCACAAAGGAGCCACTCAGCTTGAGCCACGGGAGTGCTGAGGACCTCTCAAGTTCAGGAAAGGGAGCTTGCAGTCCGTGTTTCGATGGTTGAAGAGTTCTACGATGACATTACTTTTTGGATTCAAAAACAACGAGCTGCAGACTAGAAGGTCAGAATCTGCCAAGTGACTGGAGAAGAAGACTTCTCACAGACAAGAACAAGCCAAAGCCGTTACCCATGTGTATGCGATCGTGCATGCACAAAGCAGATTGCGGCCGCAGCTATACATGAATACTGAGGGAGATCCTTATCATGGATCCGGATGGCCAGCAGATTCCACCAGTTGGCTTCAACACCTTCGATGATTGCCCCTTCCCCGCGGAGGTGCTGGACGAGGTCCCTTTCTCTGCGTAATTTCAGGAAAGACGGCGAACCCCGACTCCATGCATGAAGGCACGTGGAGACCAGACTACTCATCAGACACCACATGACAGGTGAGGAGAAATGGCTTCGTGAAGCCCAGCCCGTGCCTGGATTGCAGCAGGGAGCAGGGGATAAGCAAGCGGAAGTGTCTTCTGGCCCACAGTCTCGGGTGCGCTCAATGCCCAAGGATCCAGATGTATTCCTGGCCTTTGGCGGTGCAGGGGAAGGACAGACCACTGCCATAGCACAGGGAATGACTGCAATTAATTATAATTATGATGGCCTCATGCACGTCATGCAGACTTACCTTCTGTCTTGTGTCAACAACCTTTCGCGCCAATCAAAGGCTTCAAGGTGCTGCGCTTTCAGACCGTCAGGACATCATCGGCATCGCAACAACTGGCAGTGGAAAGACGGTGGCCTTTCTCTTCCCGGCCTTTAAGTGTCTAGGCATAGAGCCCCTGATTACAGTGCTGGGCCACGAAACAGAGGTTCTCAGAGTTACATGCCACAACAAGGCTGAGAAGAAGAGATTGGGTTGAAAAGAAATGATTCCGGGTCACTGTCGAGTAGGGATGTCAACTATGCGGAGAAAGCATTACCCCAAAATACGAACACATACATGATCTACATTTCTATATACATATATATATATATATGTATGTAGCCATACCTGCGTTTTAAATGTGTGCAGTATGTTCTTGTCTACAGACACGCATACGCATACATACACGTAGGTATGTATACATAGCTTTGTAAGCTCTTCTTCATCTCAACTTGGGGCGGCAGCTTCTGCCATCCAAGGTTCATCATCGAGACAAAGGCGGAGGCGAAGGATCCTACACTTCTTTGCTTGTCGCCGACTCGCGAACTAGCGGTCCAAGTCGAGAACGAGGCCCACAAGTTTGGCAGCTGGACTTCCATAGCAGCAGCTTTTCGTTTCGGCAGCAAAAGGAGCTGTGGCTCTAGCCAGTACGTTTGCAGTGCTTCGGGCCCGGTGTCAAGTAAGGACGTGATGCTGGCATCGTGACTGTTTGCGTTTATGGAGGCGTTGGCAACAAGCGCGACCAAGGCAGAGACTTGGCGAAGGGTTGCCACGTCGTGGTCGGCACGCCGGGTCGGCTCAACGACTTCGTTGAGGGGAAGGAACTCTACTTGAGCAACGTCTCAAAGCTGGTCGTGGACGAAGCCGACAGGATGCTCGACATGGGTTTCGAACCTCAGATTCGCAAGGCCGTCAAGGAGGTAAAGGAGAAAACAGAAAGGCAGACCCTCTTCTTCACAGCAACATGGAACGCGAACGTTCAGAAGATAGCTGCCGAATTCGTGAACAACCCTTTCCAGGCCCTTGGCATGCTCGAAGGTTTTAGACTGGTTCATGGGTGGCGCATGAAAGGATGCAGGATGTCGCTGTCCGTTCCTGGGCGTTGCAAAGCTAGGGCTTTCAACCTTTGATGCCAATAGTTCGAGCTGCCGATAAACGTACCTCAAGCACCCGTCTCTAATGTACAGCATGATCCGCACCCATGTATGTGCACCTGCCCTGAGTCTTGGTGCAGGTGAAGATCGGCAGCACGGAGCACTTGAAAGCTTCGGATACGATCAAACAGATCGTGAAGATTGTCGACCCTGACAAGAAGGTACGTCACCTCACGAAGCTCTTCCTGGAATATGCCTCTCGGCCATGCTGGGCAGGTGGTGGCTTCAGGGCTGCAGACGTTCTCCTGCGACTGAGGACATCTCTGAGAAGGGCCGTGGCGAGAATCGTGCGATGATCTTCTGTAACACGAAGAAGACTCTTGGCTGCCCTGGCCTCATTGCTGGATTGAAATGTCGCCGCGAAGAATAGCCCGGTACCGGGTCAATGAATGAGTCAGCCAGTTGGTCAGTCAGTTAATAAATCAGCCAATCAACCATCTTTCAAGCAAGCAAGTGAGAGAGCGAGCAAGCAAGCAACCAGCCAACCAACCGATGGAGCAGTCAAAATGTATGTATGTATGTATGTACGCCTGCATTTACCGAATCTTTGCCAGTGGTACGGTTGGCTGTAATTCCGAGCCAGACTGTCAAATCCTAGAGCTTTGGAAAAGCGTCTCGACACGAAGGACCTGCGAGCAGCTCGAGGACGGATTGAATCGAGCGCGGGTGCGCTGCGACTCCATTCATGGCGACAAGGAGACCCTGCCAACAATCCCTCCCACAAGCCTTATAAGTTTTTGGGGGTGGGTTGAAAGGAGCAGAAAGAGCGTGAGCGCGCTCTGAATGATCTCCGTGACGGCTACACAAAGATTATTTGTGCGACGGCCCTGCGCTCAGGTTTGCTCAACCCGTTCGAAGCTGGCAGTAGAAGAAAGCTGGCCCAGTATCTTTGCCTTTGCTTAGGATGTGGCGGCTCGAGGGTTGGACGTCAAGGGAGTGACCTTGGTGATTAACTACGACCCACCGAAGAATGCCGAAGACTATGTGCATAGGATTGGCAGAACTGGGCGTGCCGGGCATTCCGGCCCCTTGCCCGGCATCATCACACCTGTGCAAATGTTTTTTCAAGTATTCTTCTTGTGCCACGAGCTTGAAAAAGTGCTCTGCTTCAGGTACCGCAGTCACTTTCCTGACTGATCGCGATGACTTCCAAGGGCGCCAGATCCGCACTGTCATGCTCCGCAATAACCAGGAGGTGCCTCGGGAGCTCCAGGCTCTGGTAGATGGCACGTTGCCTCGCCGACGTCGGAGTCGCTCCAACCGGCGGCGCAGCCGCTCTCGGCGAGGAGGCCGCAGCCAGGACCGGCGCCGGCGTAGTCGGTCTAAGCGACGCAGCCCACGCCGAAGCCGTGATCGGCGTAGCCGGGAGCGACGAAGCCGGGACCGACGCAGTCGAGAACGCGGAGATCGAGATCGCGGAGATCGCGGAGATCGGGAGCATCGAAGTCGAGAGCGGCGCAGCCGCAGCCGAGATCGCCGAAGCCGAGAAAGGCCTCAGAAAAGAAGCGAGCCACGAGATGCCAGGTCTCGATCAAGAGATGCTGGCAGTGGTGGCTTCGATCAGCCAGCTCCGACCTCTCAAGCCTGGACTCCCCCACAATCAGGATACCCAGACTATCCGCCCCAAACCCAAGCAGCCCCAGCCCCAGCATACCCTACTCCCCAACCAGCCCCGGCATACCAAGCAGCCCCAGCATACTCCGCTCCTCAGCCAGCCCACGCCTACCCCCCCCAAACAACTCCAGCATACGCTTCTCACTATCCTGATGCCTCCGCAGTGCAGACATACCCCTCGGCGCACACCCCTGCGCAAGCACCCCGTGCCCAACCCCAGTACAGCTGGTTGAAGTCGGAACCGGCAGCTGCACCAGCCCCTCACTATGCACAACCCGCCTCTCACTATGCGCCCCCGGCAGGTTACTCTGCTCCTGCGCCTCAGTGGGGTGGTGCACCACAGCAGGCTGCACCACAAGTGGTTCCTCCACCCCAGCACTACGCAGCGGCAGCACAACCTCAGCAAGTGCCCCCCCGGCAGTACAGCTGGCTCCAGTAGTGCCTGGATCAGCGCCACTGTTGCGTAGCAGTAGCAGTCAACGATCCAATACTTGTTTCATGCCATGCACTTCCGCCCGAGAAGTGCTATACGGATTTTGAGCCGCATGCTCAGCGTAACAGCGCTGATTGGTCGCTCATGCAGCAATCCAACTTATCTCATCTAGCAGCGAAAACGGTTCTCACAGCGATCTTTCTGGATACGATATGTAATTAGTTGACGGTCAGAAGCCATGGTCACACTTTGAAAAAAATTTGGACGATCGATTATCCTCGGATTACTAGGTACATGTCAAGAAGTACAACAACAGCTCTTGGGCTCTTCGTGCTGGTAAACGTGGCATGGGTTTGAATTTTTCGCATGATAATTCTCATGTGGCGGGCAAATAAGATTCCTTATTCATATATAGTCGATTATATTGATATTATAGAAAAAAAAATAAATATATATATATATAAACAGATATTCGTATATTATACCGAATATGAACAAACATATCCTAATGACTAAATGCCTATCTAAATATGAATAACTATATATATATATATATATATATATATTTCCTTATTTATATAATCTATATTAAATAGCAAATATTAGTCGATATTAATTATATTTTGAACAACTAATTGATCTAGAATAAATTAAAATAGCTGAATTTTTTGATTTATAAAAAAAAATTAACAGCCGGATTGAATTCGTCGATTATGGACTTATTGCCTTACTTCGTATATTCAACTATATAAGAAATAAAAAATGGAAAAAATATCAAATAATATTGATAATGAAAATAGAGGATAAATATTTTTTTTTAAGAGACATTTGAAATCTTTGGATGATAAAGAAAATTCTTCATAATAAAAATAAATTCTATTTCTTAATATATCAATTATTCTCCATATATATTAATCATGTAGATATTTATAAATGAAAGAATTCTTTAATTCTCTTAATTGATAAATATAGAATTTTATAGAATTTTTTATCTTAAGAAATATATAAGAATACATATATCTATATTTTTTTCAATATCATTATATATATATTTCAATATCTATTTGATATCATCGAAATGATAGAAAGGCATTAAGAAATCGAAAAATAATTAGATTTTATCTTCTAATAATATCGTTCTTATCTTTTGGAGCTTATCAGGGATAGTGCCCGCGATCTCTTAATTCGGATTTATTAGGAGATTCCTATAGGCTGAAAATAAAAGAAATTAGGGTTTTTTACTTATAATGAATAATGAATTCTTTTTTAAAAGATAATTAGAATTTGCTTGCAATCTAAATGAAATTCATTCGTATCTTACCGCCCATTCATATCTTTAAAAAAAATATCTGAAAGAATTCAAATTACCGATTAGGAATCGGAGAATAGGTGAAATGAGCGAATTACAGAATACGTCGCTAATACAATTTTTTTTTTCAAATATATCGAGATCATATTTTATTTTGGAAGGAAATTATAAATCTATATATAGAATAGCAAATATTTGAAACCTCGCAATTTTATTTCTATCTATTCATTATTCCGTCGGAAATTCTTCTGAAGATCACTTATAAGGAAGACTCGACTTGCTATATTACTACAAAAATTTTTTCTAGATAAGATCACTGAATACTAAATCTTTAAGTAATTATAATATGATTTCTCGATTTCACGTAATCGATAAATGAGACGGGATAAGAAGATTCCGAAATTTCAATATTATCGATCTGAACCAACGATCTATTGATAGAAAAGGCAAAGAAAAATTGAATGAAAGAAATAAGATCAATTTATCTCCGAAAATTTTTAATTCTTTTCAATAAATTCCTGATATATATTTTCAGAGGTTCCTCAAGATCTATGCTCAATCGAATAATGGCGTATGTTTCATTATTCGATATTCTCTGATTATGAAGAAATTTTGATAGCATCCAAATTCGCTCATATGAAATTGGAGAAATCATCCAATATCTCTCATATTTGATATCTCCATATAGATTGAACGCTATAGGAGATTCTCTTATATAATTTCTCCAGAATCTAAAATCAAAATAAGAAAAAGAAATGAAATATTATAGGCAAACAAGACGAAATCTTAATATAATTCGTTTCAAGAAGATTATATGTTCCATATTCAAGAAATTCGAGAATTCTCGTAAGATATAAATTTATTTAAAATGAATTTTTGAAAATATCAACTCTTATATCAATATTTGATGACTAGCTCGTGCCCCGCTCCAATTTTTATTTAGAATAGATATATGATTATCCTCTCGTATCACTAAAATGCCTATAGATCTAATATATATCATTATATTAGATTGATACTAATATCCAATTTCAGATCTGAATTATCAATCAATAGCTATTTTGATTTATATTATAAATTGAATCGCTCAAAATTCTAATCAAGAATATTGTTTTGGAATCAGCCTCATATTCTATTATATATTTTTTCTTGGGATTATATCCGCGAATCTTAAAAAGATAATAAAATCAGATATAATAACTCTTATAATCAATATATATATATATATCGATTTTCGGAAGATTCAGGAATTCATATTTGAAAAAGATTACCATCTATTCTAAATAATAGAAATCATATAGAAGAGATTTCTTATTATTATCACATACGAAAATCTATCTTTTCAATTTGCTCTGCGAATTAAATAGCTTCATATCTAAGAATGATATATTTGTTGAGATCAGTAGCATTCAAGCGGATCGTAAATTTATAATAAAAATATTTCTTAATAATTTTAATCGGTAATCAAATTGACGTCGAAATTCCCGCGAAATTTACCCTTATACTACTATTTGAAAATCTGCATCCAGCTTTCACTATATTCGATGATAAGATTTCTTGAACGATTATCTTTTGGCGAATTGAGAAGACCTTCCATATAAATATATGCGATCCTGATTCGAGAGATATTCTTATCTATGATTTATTTCTTATCATGCAGATTTTCGATTGGCAATTCCCCTGACGATTCAGGCTTCTCTGGACGTATATTGGCATGCGAGGGAACACTGGGGTCAGCTACAGGCGTACGACAGGATGAGACCAATTTAGATAAATTTAATTTTGACCTTGATCAGCTCATCCGTATCAGCGCCTGACGAAATAACAGATGATGGCCCACGAGACTTAATTTATTTTAATAGAGTATCTTCTCATGGTTAGATAAATAATATATTTTATTTATATTTATCGGGCACTGGGAGATCTTATTCTTTCCCTGATTCCAATGATTCAGAATCAGTATCAATTTTGATTCTATGAATATCTTTGAGAAGCTATATTATATCATAATAATATTTATAATATTATATATCCGGAGATTGAAAGCGATCTTCTGATTCCTGATTCATATATAATAAAGAATCGTTTCGTCGGAAATATAACTCATATATTCGTAAGCCCTCTATCGATCTCCCTATTCTCTATATTTCCCTAGATCAATTAATTGACTAGATAAGATGATAGAATTATTGATTATCAGATCCGACGACGATCGAATCAAAGAATTTACTATAATTGGAAGAATAGAAATCCTGAAAATGAAAAGATTAAAATTATTCAATAGATTTAGATGCCATTATCCCGATCAAAGAATATCAATTAGTTAATTATATGATCATTATCCCGAAAATGATGAGGGACGAGCATGGCAAGCTGTTTTGCTGCTAGAATAAGCTGCAGAACGTCCCGAACGACAAATTGAAGGATTCATTTTTCTTCGATGGCAATATATTGGAGGGGTGTCCTATCGTGGATTTGGAGTAGTTTAAATTTTTGACGATTCCCGCGACCGATTATAATCTCGATTTATTGACGACCCCCCCAAAAAAAGGCCAATGGGGCGATAGCCGTGCCCATTGCACGTGATGATGTTAAATTCTCGACGTCTGATTCGGAGAAGTCCCTCAGCGACGAGAATTGGTAGAATGCCCAAGAATTCTTGGCGGATATCGATCAGCAATTGGAGAAGCAATATAAAGAGACCACTAAGATCATCGCCAAACTATACGATAACAAGCAGCGGTCCAATATCGTAGAAATCTATGATGGACTGCCGCTTCGCAACAATATCTACAAAAAATAAATATATAAAAAAGATATATGGAAAGAAATATATGAAGAAGCTGATCATATCCCATCAATCCATTATCTGAGACGTAAAATCCTGTCTATCCTGCATAATAAGCTTACGGATATCACGCTCATCATATAATTTAGATAAATTCAGAGCAGATCTCCGGCGACGTAGATCAATCTGATCTACTTCTTTCGCGATATGGGCAGATTCGAAGATTATAATACGATGAAATTTGCCGGAAAAACAGGATCAGATCAATATATTGAGCAATATCATCGATTAATAGATTTATATTGTCTGAATTCAGAATAGCCATATCATAGCAAGAGGGACCCGTCGCTAATAAGGTCGAAGACACCTCCCCTTATATATAGGTATACAAATGAATGATAAGACGACAATTTTCCAAATGAGCACAGTCTCTACATGTAGGCAGAGCAAGTTTATACATGTTGAGTGAGTGAGTGGATCTGATTCGGAGAGCGCACGAGAATAAAAAGAAGCTTCATTGCCTCTATCGATCCGACCGTTCCGTGAGCATTTGATCTTCTAGGTGATTCCGTCTTACGATCTTATAATCCAGGCAATCTGATCCGGTCAAATCATCTATATATATTTTCCAATATAGATTCATATAGGTCATCTATTAGAATTAGAATAATCTTCTATAGAATCTATCCAATAATCGCATAAGTCAAAGTATTGCTCAAGTCCTCCTAGCTCCATCGAGTTTCGGAGATATATCGAGAATCCCTTATTAAGTCGGTGGGGACGCCCAGGAGAAGCCTTTTATTTTGATTTCCGAGTGATCCAGAATAATCTTGAGATTTCGACGGATGCGAGCGCGTCATCTACAATTATTTAGTAAATTAGATTGGTGCGGTTCCATAGAAATCTTGCGGATTTTTTTTTCAAAGCAGTGATTTCTTATTATTTGGGGGACGATAGAAAATTGAAATTTAAATGCCATAATTTCTATGAATTTATATATTGACCCGACCCATAATAGAGTCTCCATAACTAAATTCTCAGATAAATCAGCATCAGAAATAAAATATAAAATGATTCAATCCACTCACGATACGCTCAACATCCGCACTCTCCTTTCTACCAGACTCTAGAGAGATCATCAAGTCGTTAATCAGTAACCATATGGGTTATCTAATCCTTTAGCTCGAGTAGATAGATATGCTAGATCATAATCTAATTTATCAGAGAATATAAAATATCATATTCTAATTTGTCGGAGAATATAGAACCAAATCAAAAATTATAGGTTACCAGTAGAAGTAAAGCAAAAATACAAAATCACGATTTTAAAGTAATAAAACCATTATGTGATGAGCTTTTCATACAGCCCTGCCCACAGCATTTTCCGGCAACTCTTGCTCTTGCTGTGTTCACCCGTCAAGGATCTACTGCAGGCCCATTTTGCTTTGCAAGACCTGCTTTAAAACGTACGTCACAGCATCATCTAAACAAGGGCATGCAAACGGGGATTTCCCGAGTGCCGCGTGCCATAAATCGTCCAGACTGACTTTCAGTCTAGGACCAAAAACTTCCCTAGATGCCAGGGGACTGAACCGTTGCAACTAGATGAGAGAGCGCAGTTCTGCCGCTGCTTTTGCGAATGACTCCCCTCCTCGGCAGACATCGAAGACGCAATCGTCGAAGAAACTCCCGGCCTCCCGCGTCTCCTATCCACATGGCATGGGCTGCGGAGCACTCCGACGATGAGCTCAAGATTCGCTGCTAGGTAATACAAAGCACTACCCGTGCAATGCACTAGTTTGCGGGAGGGGTAGTTGCGGCACAGCGTTTTGGCACAGCATGTGAGTACTTCAGGCCATCAAAGGATTCTACGCGGACTGAAGACGTTGGCCTCCTCAAATCACAGAAACCAGTTTGTGCATACTTCCTTGTAAAGCCAAACCTTTCTTGCGAACTGCGGAGAAACATGGCTCGAGGGAGGCTCCTCGCCGAGATATTCCGCGCAGGTGTCCTCGGCCTTCGTCTTGGCGTCTCCAGTGCAGGAGGTCACAAGCAGGTGCTCCTCCTCAAACGCTTGCGAATCAGTGGCTTGTGTTTCCAAGGCTTGCACCATGACAGATCGGATAAGTTAACTCTCCTCTTGGTTCTTCTTCAGGAAAGACGCGGCGCTGTCGCTCCCACCTTTCGTTTGTATTAGTCTTGGAGGTGAAGAAGGGCTATTTGAGGCAACGCCTTTTTTGGAGGTGCGCACCTAGCGATTGCCAGCTCTCCTCCACTGGGAACCTCTCCTGCAGATGACCCTAGCACAGTTTTTTGTTTGACAGCATATGGGCTCAAAAATTCTGAACACTTCTTCCAAAGGCTTGAGAAGCTGTCCTGGCTTCTGGCGTTGCCGGCTTGGATTTGGCCTGTCAGGAACTTGGCTTCGAAGGCCTTGCGCGGGGAGACCCGCAAGTTGATAGCACCGCTCCTGAGGCGGGCCCCAGGCCGATACGCAACACCCTTCCCCTTCCTGCAATTCAGAACTCTGCGCAAAACACTACTCATGTTGAGGTGAAGGGTTCTTGTTATGAGGCTTGATGTAAAGGAGGCTTGGTGGTTCTTGTTACAAACGAGAAAAAATACTGATTCCGAACTAATTACACTCCAGACTCATGCACACTGTGTTGAGGACAAGAACTTCTTTCTTGCCGTCAGGGGTGTTGATGCCAAGGTTGACGTGCTTCTCGTTCACATACTCGAAGCCCGTAGTGTACTCGCTCCCTTCCAGCAAGGACAGCGATGCCTCACTCTTGCTTGCGCAGCTCATACGGCGGGTAATGTTTCAGGGGTTTGCCTGGGGTAGTAGTTCCGAAGCGGCTTTCACATGCTACTTCGTGGTCAAGGTGCATTTCGCTCGATGACTGACCACGACGCCTCCCCCGTCTTGCTGCGCCACTGGCAGTCCTCTGACGTCAGCTCCATAGCCTCAAGGGCGCCCCCTGCCCAATACTCCGACCACTGAGCAACGGCTCCAAAGTCCGACTTCAAGACCTCTCAGACCCTCGCCACCCCAAGACTCCCAGACCCCTCCACTGCCTGCCGGAAGCGTCCTGAGGATCGATCCACCAACAGCAAGCCTTTGACTGTCCACAGCGGGCCTCTGCAGGCCGGGACTGCAGGGATTTCTGCAACGAGGCGTGGTTTTGGAGTGGCACATGTTTGCGGCGACCATGGAGTTTGGGACCAGTTAAGACTCTGCGGATGCTTGCGTAAGTGTCCTACGAGCGACGGGCCTCCATACGCTGCGTAGAGTTGCCAATCGATGTCACCTCGGGAATTGAAGCGGAATTGCCGCCTGTTGCACCATAAGCATGTCTATCAGGGTACAGGAGAACACTGAAGAGCCCGCAATCCTGGGCCGCGTTGGTGCTGAGACCGGAAATGAGAAAAAAAAATCAGGCTTCTGGTGCAACTGAGGCACCGGTACCGCCGTAGTGGAACACCGAATAAGTTCCTTTGTCGTAGAGGTCGAACTCGTTTCCGTCCAAAGTATGGATGTGCGGATCTCCCACTACACCTCCACTCCTCTGTTGTGACATAGACATGGGCCCGAAGAACTAGTTTGATAGTCTAGGAATCAGTGTGTCCCACAAATCTAAAGCTAAGACTCCCATCGCAGCAGCCGAACTGAAAGGCAAAGTCGGTCAGATCTTGGATGTTGTTTGGGTTGTTTGGGTCGGTTGCAAGGCTAATCTCCTCCCAGGAATCCACTTCGTGCAAAAGGTCTCGTTCACCTGGAAGATGTTTCTGAAGTTGGGGAGTGGCCAGTTCTGGCCGAGGATACTACGATGCGCTGCAGTAGCCAAGATGGTTGGAATAGGGTCACGTCTGCCATTGTCAAAAAAAGTTATAGCAGGATAGTAGGTGCAAAGTGCTAGCAATCGTATAGGCCTCTGCATTAGTTTGTAAGTGTAGTTCAGATGGCATAGTTTGAACGTTGAGCATAACACTGGAGCGTGACACTGGATCTCACTCTGCCCACCTTGCCATTTGATGGAAATGCAGCGCCGGAGGGAGTCTGACTCCTGCATGTCTGCTTCCCAGAGTAGCAAGCTCGACCAGCCGCACTATCGGGGCTCCCGCTCTTGACGCAAATCCTAGGACGCCCGGTGCAGCATGCAGCAAAACAAGCACCGACTTCCCCTAATCATCCTCGATTTCCCCTAATCATCCTCCACAACAGCAGAAAGCTTTGTTCGCGGTCCACGGCCTAGAAGCTGTACGGGGCAGACACCTGGGGGGACATAGGTGCAATACCCAGGCCGAGAGCCTCGGCCGAAGTTAAACTTGGCCGTGGTCCACGTTCCCGCGACTGGCTTTGGCTGGCACGGGTTCGACCCGTGCGTTTCCGAAAACCAGCACTTGCCGAAATTGAGACTCTCCCTGTAGTTGCAATCTACACCGCCCGTGGTCTTGCAAACCTTGTCGTCGGTGAACTTCTTCTTGCAAGTGGCTGCGCTCGGAAGCTCTGCTAGTGATGAGAGACCTTCTAAAAAAGCCGGCTTGGTGCTTCGTTGCGCTGAGCCGTGCTGTTGCAGCATGCATGACGCATCCTTGGTTGCTACTAGCAACTCAGCAAGACCCATGAGAATCCCAATCCAACCAGGCATCTCCAGAAAGCCGAGCATCCTTCTCGTCCGCCCACGCAGAAGCCAGGAAGATTGATAGCCAGATGCATCGAGCCATGGTCAGGCGAATCTTGGCGCGAACAGGTTCAGTAACTAGGACTTGAAAATGGCTGCAGCAAGGGTGAGTCATGGGGATGCTAGCTCGAACCAGCCTCGAACGACGAAAGAGTCTCAGTTTAGCTGTATGTCTGCATAGCTCGTGAGAGAGTCTTGGTATAGCTGCGCAGATCAATCAAAGGCAACTGTTTTGCAACTGCCTGTCTGTTCCGTCACCCTCAGTGCAGAAGAATCGTATTCAAGCCTACCTGGAGGATCGTTGGAGGGTAAATATTATGCTGATGCCCCCCGCAACCCCAATAAGCTAGACAACTTACTGCCCGAATAAGCATGACATGGGGTCTTCAGTTCAAACTTTCAGAAACGACTACCTTACAAGAGCCCCATAACTTGAAAAGTTTGGTGTTGAAGCAGTGCGACAACCACCATCACTACCAACTCATTGAAACGAGCTGAGCTTCTGAAGTTGCTCAACGCCGATGGAACCCTGTAGCAACTTTAGCAGCAGCACGGGGCTGACGATGAGTGCAGAAATGGGCCGCGTTGGTGCGTCATGATTCCCGGATGCTTCAAAAAATCACGGACAGGCTCCGCGATCGCATGGTCCAATGTCGACTGGGCTGATGACATTATTGTAGTGATTAGTAAACTGACCGCACGTTGAGATAACGCACGATGGGTTAATGCAAGAGCCGGAATTATCGAGAAAAATCAAAAGACCGAGATTGTGGGATATTGGAATACTGAGGGCGCAAATGATCCAGGCATATCAAAATCATTTGTCTCAAAACTCTGTGGTTCGACAATGGACCCGGATATGGTATGAAGTCAGCATGTAGACAGCGGAGTGTGTTAGGTGTGAAATGATGCCTAATGCTCGTTCTTTCTTGGCAATAAGATTCTTTTTTGGTATCCCAGTGTTGGGCCTTGGCCTTGGCAAGCACGAGCTCGGAGCATTTTGATGCAAACTGAAGCCAGTGTTCCTGCGAATGGCGGGCGTGCTCATCCCGAGGAGCCAGGTGCGACCTAGGCACAAGAGTTGAAATACTGCAGGGTCCTTAAGAATTAGCATAAGGGGTTGGGTTCTACTTAGTATGTCTATAATCAGGGGCCCTGAGGAATAACATTGGTGACTCTTCAAGCTCGTGCAGTAGCTTGCCACTGTCAAAACCCTTCAGAGAAAGAAAGGCCGGTACAGCCTTCTTTATCTCTCTTGAGCTTGGCGCCACACTTCAGCAGCCGCACACAAAAACTCACATCCGTAAACCCTACACTCACCACTCACTCCCTAAAACCGAAACCTCAAGCTTTATCGACTTCAAGGCCAACGCAGTGTCGCCCGAAGGTCGCCCGGAAGCGCGCAGCGAGCTTCTAAGGGCCCATGGCCGATGTCCAGGCCTCCAGCCAAAGGCTTACAGGAGATCGGTTTAGGGTTCAGGCTTTAGGAGGGTTTAGGGCTGAGGGTTTAGGGATCAGGGCTGTCTAATGTTGCTGTGTTCGACACTCTTCCTTTGGTGTATCACGATTCTGCTAGTCGAAGTACGCTCGATCTTAGTCTTTATAACAGTCATGCTGTTGCTACTGTTCACGGTGGTGTCCGGAATCCCCCATCTACGGCTCGTACAAGCCACATGTAGGGTCCTTGTCTTTTCCTGGTGTTGCGGGACCTTCAACCTTTCCCACGGGTCTGACTTCAACACGTTTGGATCCAGGCACTTTAGTCTTCTATGCTGGCGACGGCAGTAGGACTGGCTCTGCTGAGATAACTGTTCAATTCCATGGCCGTTCGCGCGCTCTTATTGCTAGCACAGCTACGCTGTGCAGTTTTCCAATTAGTCGTCCTGCAAAGGTGCCGTGTTTCAGTCTCGGAAGGCTCAAATGACCACCACACGTAGGGCGTCAGGATGTCGTAGATTTCGGATATTCTTTTAGAGAGTTGTGCCTGACCTCTCATGAAGGATGTGGCTGGAATTTACGGGCAACACGACGGATAATGCCTGTGATGCCGAGTTTGTAAGACCAAGACCTCTCAGGAAGGATGTGGCTGGAACTTACGGGCAACACGACGGATAATGCCTGTGATGCCGAGTTTGTGAGACCAAGACCTCTCATGAAGGATGTGGCTGGAATCTACGAGCAACACGACGGATAATGCCTGTGATGCCGAGTCTGTAAGACCAAGATGCGCCATATTAGGATAGTTCGTGAAGCTTAGTCAGTTCAGTCACGAAGGAAAGTGCAGACATGATCGTACCTGTCGAAAGTCTTGTGCTCGAGCATGAGACTGTAGCTATGTCTGTCTGAGGCCCCCGGCGCAGCCGATAGCTGTGCAAAAACAGCCGACGACACCAGCCCTTCGCTCCATCTCCGTAGATTTTATCGCCTGTGGCAGAGGAAGCAACAGATCCACATCAGGCTGCTCGTCCATGTGCAATCTTCGATGATGACGGCTCACTGGCAGTGTGATGTCGATATAGTCGGTCATGTCATACACGGTCTGGCAAGGGAGGGATTCACACATCTTGCGCAGACACTGTTCGGTTTGGATGTGTCCAAGACGCTGCAGCATGGACATCACTAGCATGCTTGCTCGGAGGATACTTTGGTACGTAGCATGGCAGGTGCTAGTAATTGATAACTCTGTCATGGCGTTGTAGTTCAAAAAGCGGCTTGCAACGACAGGAAGCTGAAGACGGCAGGCAAGTGAGGGCAATACGCCATGCGCCTCCGTCCCCAGCATGCGCCTACCCCCGGGTACATGAATTACACCGTCTTACCGAGACCCCTACACAGGGCAAGGTACACCATGCCGATGAATTTGCTCCTGCTTCAGAACAAGACCCGGTGGCACATGTCATCACACGTGTGTATGCATGAAAGCATATACCCACAGGTACGAATATGCGTACACACCTGTACATAGAAATGCACACGGACATACATATGTACATATGCAATGCATGCATACATGTATACATGCATACGAAAGCACACACACACATACACACACACACATACATATATCACGTAATGAGGTACAGTACAATGAAAAATCATCAATGCAATGCAAAAATACGACACCCCTCGTACATGCACACACACACACACACCTACACATACATACATATCTACATACATACATACATACATACATACACAGCTACATGCATACAGATGGCCATGCATGGATGCGTGCATGCAGGCATACGTCCTTACATAAATACATGCATGCGTGTGTGCATGCATGCACGCACACATGCATGCCTACACATGACATACGTACATACAGACATACATGCACGCGTCCATCAGTTCATCCATCCATCCATCCGCCCATCCATCACTGCACACATACATAAATACATGCATACATGCGCAGTTACATACATGTCATTCATTCGTTCATCCATACATTTATTCACTCATGCAGTCGTCAATTCATGCACTAATTCCTTCAGCCTTTCATTCATTCCTTCACTCATTATATGTTATGTCCTTCCATTTCTTTCCACTGCATCCATCCATTCATCCTTGCACTCATTTAACCATCTCATGCCATGTCATGTCTCTTCGTCCATCCATCCATCCACTCGTTCAACTCACTCATTCCCTTCATTCCTTCATTCGCTCCTTCGTTGCTGCATTTCCTCATTCGTTCATGCGTTCTTCATTCAACCATTCAGCCTTTCCAGGCATCCATCCATCCACTCATTCCTTTCATTCATCAGAGCGTTCCTTCATTCCTTCATTTTTTCTCTCTCATCTCTTTCTTCTGCCATGGTTGATTCATGTCATCTCATTCTGTTTCCGTTACTTTCCTTCATTCATTGTTTCGTTCGTGGATTCATAACCATGTGCTACATACGTACATATATATACACACATCCATACATTGCATATATAGTATATATATATATATATATATGCGGATGCACATTTGTGCACCAGACATCTACATATACATGCATATCCATAAATGTATTCTAGACTCAAGAACATCCCACTGGCATATCCCCTTGCAGGCAAGATCTGCGAGGCACACTTCAAGCCGTAAATGCAAGAAACTTAGATTTTCGGCCGGGTCAGCAGGCCTACGAGAGGATGCCCCTGGTAGAGAAGATGGGCCCGAATCTGGTTTCGCCTGCCGCGAGGTCTACGGATGAACCCTAGAAGGCACTCCCCATATTTTGCAAACAGTCCAAATTCCAAAGTGGTTGCGGGCACCAGAAATCCGAGCCAGCGTCAAGACCGTGAATTTGCAGTTTGGACCTTGAGGTTCTGCTCTTCAGTTTTAGGGCTGTTTTGGGTTTGTCTGCAAGTGGGAAGTATTCTGCCGTTGAAAGGTACTTCTAACTGCTAATGCAATGTAAGGGCAAGTATTCTACGATAGGCTTCCCCCTGTATGACACTTATAACTAACTCATGCAACGTAAGGACAAGCAAAGCAAGGCTTTATCTTATAAGCAAAAGCACCTGCATCCCCCGAGGCATCGAATGCAACACTTCCGAGGCGCCTCCCAGTATGCAGGCGGACTGCAACCAAGCTGACCGCAGTTTCCGCTGTGAAGTGGGCAACGGACAAGATCTGACCATGCTTGGACACTATGCATTGCTGCCGTCGGTGACCTGCATATGGTTTTACGAGTTTATGAACCTCAGGCACTTCGAATGTAACTAGACTCACTCTGTGAATCAAGTGCACCGTGAAGTAATTGGCAACCGAGAGAGATGAAAGTCTTGTAGGCTCTGCAGAAACCACATCAGCAACGAAGGCCAGAATTGCCAGCCTCGGTTTTTGCCGCTCGCAACCTTGCTGTAGGTTGGCCTGAGTTGAGGAAGAGACAGGTGCATGTCACGCATGCAAGACGGCCGGGCTCACACCGAACGACTCGCTACAAGAGATGCTATGGCCGCATAGGCTGTGCAAGTATGAAGAGGTGAAAGATTAAGAGACGCTCCGACTTGTCGTGGCCTTCCAAATCAGCAGCTTGACGCTCACCATACTGCAAAGGCTGCTCCGTCATCTTGACCTTGACAGTTATACACAGAGAGCACCAAGACATGCAGCTGCAATTTGCTTTCGGTGCTGTCCTGCTGCAGGTGTTGTCGCACATATCTCTATCTCGCCTCTTATACATCAAACGCACCCACCTGATTAACTCGTGCTCCGCATCCGGTTGGGAGTGGCCTGCGGAGAAAGCCAGCCGTGACAAAGGCAGAGGTACTCCTGCAGTTGATAAACACCGAGACTCGGGACCTTGTCATCTCGTCGCCGCAAGGAGGAAAAAGCACAGTCTGGATGCAGCTCTGTACACGCGTCGCAAAGCAGCTTGCCCGTCCTTGATGACATTTCGGGAACCAAACTGCAGCATAGCCTGGCATGTCACCGACGAGACTGCGCGAGCAACACCGAGTAGAGAGCATGGTGATGCCACTGACAGGCCGCACGGTGCTTGGTATGAGCTGCATCACTACACTCGGGACGGAAGATCTGGGGCCATGACCAGGGCATAGCCAGTGTAGCTGGTTGCGCACACCAAGGGTCCCGATGTCTCGGCATCCAAGCGATGCAGGATGCCATGTTGGGCATCCGGATCCGCAGATATGGGCGACCTGTGCTAACACAACGCTGCTGCGGCTAGCCGCCTCATTAGCCACTCCAACACTCAGGGTAATCGCCAAGCCCACAGGAAAGCTGCCCGATGCCTCCCAATGATCCACTGCACTGCTCCATAGCACTGAAACTCGGACTTGGGCATGTGGGTCCAGCTTCTGTGGGTGTCGTCCAAAGACTCAATCCCGGAGACGAACGTACTCAGAAAGCGCAAAAGCCCTTCATAACTTAGATGGGAATGTCCGAGAATAGAGGACCCTCATAGTACCCGAAATAGTAGGATCCTTGTTTTAAGGACCCACCAAAAAGGGTACAAACCCCCAGAACTCTAAACTTACCTTTGGTCAATAGGGAATGGAAGAATGGTAGTAATAGTAGTTCTACTTGCACCCCATTCCTCCATTCCCTACTAACCAAAGGCAAGCCTCACGAGCTAAGAGCCGAGCCTGGGGCCCAGGTTCTGCGCGAGCCAGGGAGCCAAAAGCAGCGCCTCCGAGAGGGATCAAACTTTTGGGGGGGTTGAGGCTTAGGGTTTAGGGATTCGTCGTAAGTTTTCGAGCTCCTGGAAGGTGGTCCAGCTTTCACGAAGGGCTTATAGATTTTTGCTGGGTCCAGGGCTTTGAATTTGGCCTTGGGGTTTACGGTGATGAGACATGAGGTTTCAGGATTTGGAGGTGCCTTGTTTCGGTTTCTGCAGCAAACAGCGCTGTAATGTGATGCTGGCGGTTCCTGTTTGTTCGGTTTTAGCAAGGCGTCCTGGTCTGGGATTTTAGGGATTGGGAGGTTGAGGCCGTAAGACTTACGATTCGGCTGTAAGGGCTTTAAGGTCGGTGTTTTCGGTATGGAGTCTATCTAAAGTTTTCGAATTGAGATTCCGGTGTTGGGGCTCTACACTGTGTGCATGTTCCAATAAAAACCCAGCGGACGGCAGCAAAATGCAACTGACAACGGAGATCTCACACAAAGGCCATGAATCCCTGGCAAATACGGAGCAGTTTTTCCAACTGCTTCCGCTTCGGTGGCGTTATGTCTGCGTTTCGATCTTACAGATCGTAGTCGATCTTACAGATCGCAGTCATCGATCTTACAGATCGATGTGACAGAGTTCTTTCTGTTGGGAGGACCGACTGGTTCCCAGGTGGTACTCGCAGACAGGAAGCAGAGGAAAAATATCGTAGTCCAATGAGGGTCGGGACGGGTGGGTGAAACAAAATTTTCTCAAGCTGGAACAGCTTTTCGCCAAAATGGCCACGGAGTGTACAATCATTCGAATTGAATCGGTGAGTTAATCCCCTGACCGATTCGGTGATCAAGTGAGATAATATGTTGTCACTTCGCACAAACAAGTGTGTGCTACACAGCAATTGAGAGAGTGTCCGGTAGCAACTGTGACGAGGAGATGCTACTATCTGCCCTGCTTCTGCGTGCGATTGCCTGGATTACAAGGCTAAACTCCAAGTTTCAGAAAGCAGCCCCAAAGCTCGCAATCCGTGAGAAGATAGCACATTCAGCTTGCCTGGTCGCCTGGCTCCTCCCCCAGCATGTCTTCTTCAGCAAAGCCTTCCCAGCATGACAGGCAGGCTATAGTGGCAGCGTTACCGACCCGGTGCACGCCCGCCCGCAGGAGCTCCAGCTGATCGTTGTAATCAGACAATCCAGTCAGGACGCTGACGAGAACCCGGGCTGGTAGTTTCTGCTGGCATGTGCCTTGATGCTCTGTCTGCGAAGTGGCTCTTGGATCTGGAACAGATGATTTGCCAGCATTTCCCGGCCATGGGCACTGTCCAAGAAAAGCTCCATAAATAAAGGCTCTGTCTGTGTTGCAAGCCAAGATATGGTCTGAGGCAGGGTTCTTGCATTACTAGCACTCCCCTAACAAAACGGAGCATATATGCTGACCAATATGCCGGAGGAGCCCTGTATGAACATGCCCAAAACAATCCGTCTGTCGACTACCCCTTACTCACTTAGCCTTGTACGTTCCAACGATGTTCACTCTAACCCTCAATCTCCAAGCACCCCTCCTGCAGCTCATATGCCTTGAAAAACTTTCCGCGTTCTCGTCTTTGTTACAAACTCCACCACGAAGTGACGCCGAGAAGCCTGCTGAAGCCTGTCTTCTGACATTTACCACCTCAGACGACAACCAGATGAGAGTGTAGGGCGAAGGGCCACGTTAGGGGAAGAGCTGGGTGCAGCGGCCCCACAAGGGTCTGCGCTTTAGCAATCGTGAACGTCAGCTGGCTTGTTCAACCACCAAATTTCAGGGAGGAAGACACTCTGATGGACCCATTTGTCGACACGCTTGATTTAAGCATAACATGGTATGTGTCCTACATATGCCTATCTAGAATCCACGCGTACGTGTGTGTATATGTATATGCTTTTGTATACCTATGTAACAATAGATGTTTAACTGGCGACGCCTAAGCTCCCCGGCAATCGAAACTCCGCAGCTGCATCCCCAAACCGTGAAGGCCGCAAGAACCTAAAGCATACGTTATCTTGTATCATACTACATTTTGCTATATTGTAAGAGAATACAGGACTCTGTAGTCAAGACCTGGCAAACATCTCGCCGCAGGGAACCAGAGATCTCCGAACTCTTGAGAAACTCAGGGCGGCCCGGCCCATCCACTTGGCTTCCACAAGACAACGAGATCTTTCCCAACCTCCAACCTCATTTTGGATCTTCAAGGTTTAGGGTTTAGGGTGATATAAAGCATCGATATCCATGATACCGAAAGCATCGATATCCAGTATACCGATTCCTGGGTCAAGATTTGTTGAAGCATCGATATCCATCATACCGATTCCTGGGCTTGTGGGTTTGGGTCGTTGCGGCTTGCCACTTACCTGTTCGAAGGGGTCCTAACGCTCCCAGGGCGGTGTCGGAGCCGAGGCTTTCAAAGCAAATCGAAGCTCCTTATCAGAATACAAGCTCCGGATTACAACCGAATGCTAGCTTTCTGCCTCGTAAAGATTTGGAGTTACACCTTTCGGAGGTTCCACGCACGTGGCGGGGTTCGGGGAGGCTCCGTTGTGGGAGAGTAATGTAACCCCGGAAAAGTAAGGGACTCTAACTCAGGAAACCCTAAACCCTAAACCCTAATTTCGGAAATCGGGAATATCACCTGAGCGAAAAACATATCAAAGCCGAGGAGCTTTTGGGGCCGGGTTTATGGGGTGCAGGATGGCATAATTACCCGAATTATGCTACTTGTATCGCTACAGTAAGGAACCCTAAGGGCTAACACTGGTATTTCCGCGGTTTTATGCCCTTGGATTTGGTGCTACTGCTGCCACAGTTGACTGATTGGATGCCTTCGCAGTCTTCCGTGACAGCCGCCGGGCGGTTTGAACTTCAAACGACCCCAGGTGTTACAGCCAAGGTTTATAAACTAAAGAAGACCATAGATACTCACAGCCAGCCAACGCAATGGCAGCAATTGCTAGAAGACCGTTCATCATCCGTTTGCACGGACCAAGAAGTTGCTCGTTAGACAGCTCCTGATCTCAACACCCCTCTCTAGACCCAGTTCGTGGTATCCGCTGTGTTGCTAAAGTGATTACGTTACCGTGAATCTTGCAAAAAGATACTGGCGCCTGCACTGAGGTGATTCGACTCCGCCAAGACGCACAGAAGGGCCGGCATCGCTGATTGTGGCATCCGGCTCGAACGCCGTTTGCATCCTCTGAGGACTGGACGATGGTTTTGTGGGCTGGACCGTCAGTCCGCACGAAATAGACCGTTGCTTTGTGTTTGAGGAGTTCACTGGCTGACGGCTTGGAAAGTAGTACTCCTGGATGGTGCTGTGGGCCTGAAGCAGTATGAGTACTATCCACAGTAGTCTCAGTTTCCTACCTGCTGCTTGTCGCGCTTCCCGTCTGCAGTCTGCATCATTGTGCAACATGCTGTGTCAAGATGTGCGCTTCTATGATATTCGATATTTTGGCATGCTATACCTACGACCTACGAGTACGCACACTGGTGTGCATTGCCTTCTCTTGCACTGTTTGCATCGTATTTACTACTGCAACATCCTAGAACTTGAAGTGTTTGCACAACCGCTGCATGGTATTCTGGTACAACCTGTGCAATCTTGCACAGCCTCAGGTAAATAATGGTATATACATCAGGTACATTACATATTGGTGAGACTGTGAGACTATTCCCTTTTACTGTCTGTGATGCTCTGCGAACTGTCCTGTCTCCATCAACGTCTTTGGCAGCCTTTTGAATGGCGGCTGCCGCGCAATCCATGTACCTTCGGGTTGTTGTATCGTGGATGTGCGGGATCGAATTCTGTTGGCTGCTTGGGTTAAACAATCTTGGGACAAACCATGAGTGGGACGGCGGCGGTATCTTTCTCGTAAAGTGTACTGTGTACATGTGAAGCCAATGCCAGAACACGCGAACAAAGCACAATAGCACGACCTATCATGTGACACGTAAAACCTACAACTCCACCGCAGGTGCACACTGTCCGGCTTTGCGAAATGTGTTTCCTGTCACAACCACGACACCCGAGGCCGAGGAATGGTCAAACTAGGTATCGCAGTGTGTGTACTGTCCTAGTATCCACCACCTATTGAAACTTAGACTCAGACCAACTGAGCCACATTGACATGCCACCAGAGCGGCTCGGAAGGCACAGCGCCCAACTCCTTGAGTGAGCCCGCCAAAGAAGCCACCATCTCCATTGGGCAAGCCTGGCAAAGGGCTGGGAAGTTGGTATCATAGGCCGCTACTCCTTTGAGGCCTTTAATTTGAGGCTCTTGGAACTGCACTGACAAGCCCTGCCTCTTGAGCTCCGCGTCCACAAATCTCAAAGGCTGTCTTGTCCAGTGCTGGCAAAGCCGCAGTTCCAGCAGCAGTCCTGATGAGCTGGACTGACAAGTTCAAGCAAAATGGACAGAAAGCCTGAGGCTGATAGATCTGACCGAGGCACACTGTGGGCTCGTGGTGAGATAATGCATTGCCGGAGGACCACCCAGTCATAGCAAGTTCCCGGAAGGGCATCGTGGAACAATGCCTAGGCGGTGGCCAGGGTCCACAGGGTCCATGAGGAGGAATTTCTCAAGCGGTGGCCCGAATTGGTTTCTGCATACCCTCATTTGTACATATATACAAAGGCACATCTATATGTATACATATACACATGTACGCAGACTTATATACACATACAACTATGGTAGGCATGCAGCGAACATACATCTACCTATACGTCTACATACACAAATACATAACACATACATACATATCCACATACGCACACCTACACATACAGTTACATATACACATAAGTATACACATACATGTACATTTGCATATAGCTAGACATATACATATACATATAAACATTGATATATGTATGTATATTGCCATAAGCTGTGTGCATATGTACATAAATCAATACGTGTGTAGGTATGCATGTATGTGTGTATGTACCGTAGGTAGGTATGTATGTATGTCTGTATGTATGGGTGTAGGTACGTATGCATGTACATATGTAGATTTACTGCAAGACCGGCCTTGATTCGAGGTCCCGGACCTGCATAGCGAATCTGCTGTTTATCAACACAGTGCCCAAGCCCACAGGCACATGCAACCGAACAAGAGCTGCACTGCAGGTAGGTTTCCTGAAGCATGCCAGAATTTGGCTGCGCAAGGGCATGCCTGTCAGGCTTGCCTGCACCCCAAGCCGCAAATACGAAACGATTTAGGCGGGTAAAACCTCCAAGTTCAGCAAGGTCGCGGCATGAGAGATGATGCGGCTGCGCCAAGCATCGGCCCCTGCCGATGATAGCATTATAGTAATGTAGGCGAGCAATTGTCATTGTGTATGCACACATGTATGAGACTGCATAAGACTACCCGGTATTCATTGATGTTCAAGCGACACAGATGCGTTACACCCCGATGTTCATGCGATGCAGAGGTTTTACTGGCGCAATTGCCCAACGCCAGTGGTTGAAAGCTACAAGTTCCGAAACCATATCACTGACCTTGCTTGAGCCGACTGCAAGCCGGTCAATTCGTGCGACCGATTAAGCCGCAACCGTAAATTCGAGCACCCTTGCCGGTGTTCAGCGCACGGCTGTTGGAGGCCAAGCCTCCTCCGCTGACGACATGGTAAACCTTCAAGCCGTATTGGTTGGTCCTGTCATGGAATTGCGAGTGACAACCGGACGACCAATTCATCCACTACTATGACGACTGACGGCTGCTAGGAAAACGACGATTGCCATGACCACAGTTCATCCTCAGCTTGTACTCTCTTGTTTATCCCATCTAAACAAAATCTTCCCCAACAAAGACATTTCACCCAGAGCTGTTAGCAAATGGGCTTGTCTCTATTCTCTATCAACTACATGCTCTCTGGCGAGGCTCCTTGCGATGTAAGCGTCGATGAGCCTCGGACTTCGTGCAAATGTTTTATGGTCTAGATGTGGGGTCGTGGTTCGGCAGGCCTCTACATCTGTAAAAGCTTTCTGTCGCTTTTGTCAATCCGGATTGGTCTGCACTTGCACACATGACCGTAGTCGAGCCTGAAGCGTTCATCTAATGTAGAAGCCTTGATCATTAGACTAGAGTTTCGGGGTATACTAAAGTGTCACAGTAGCAAGGAAATACAAGCAACTTCTCCGGAATAGCAATGGCACCTTAAACCCTAAATCCTAAGCAATTGTATTTATTTAGGCTTCTATATGACACCCGGGCACCATCCCGCGAGCTCGTGAAACAGGATCTTGCACGACTAGTGGCGAGAATTGACAGTTCAGTGGCCTCCATTTCTTGCTTCTGCCTCTACCATGCCGCATACATGCTGGTCTGTCAAGTACTTGCAGCTACGAGACTGTCTTATGTATTGTGCATGATATGGTGGAAATATAGATATATTCTTATACGCATGTCTCTCTCTCTCTCTATATATATATATATGATATAAATATATATTCATATACGCATGTCTCTCTCTCTCTCTATATATATATGATATAAATATATACACACACCATATGTCATGTAAAATAAGCCACGTGTCATGGAATAAGTCCTTCATTACCTTGTTGTGTAGTCTCCATGCTGTGTAGTCCATAATTGTTCCAACATTTCCTGTCATGTAATACAGTATATTGCAAACTTTTTAAGATGTATTATATGTTATATGTCAGATGTACTATGTCATGTACCAGGTCTAGAAGTTCGACACGAGACCTCCTTGCGATGTCAAACTCAGAGACGAGCTGCGGCGGGTCACTTCCGCAGCAGCAGCTCCGGCAGATGGTTGGCCTAGCGCACCTGTCGGTGCCCCAGCGCTGACCAAACGAGCACATTGACGTGCGACAATTACATTAGGGCATTAGCCTAACACGGCTCCGAGAAGGAGGATTCCAAAAACCTCCGCTTGTGAGACCATGTTCTGTTGGGTCTTGCGGGCGCCAGGTTCTACCGACAGCACGTCCGCAACGCTCTGCGCGAGCCTGGCGTTGCGAAAGCTCAGACGGCATTGGCCAACCCTTGCGCTGCAAGTTCAGCCGCATGCTCGACCTCAGACCGTTCGGCCCTGTGAGCATATAACAAACGAGACATGGGAGATGTTTACATGTAACTAACTAGATATACACATATATGTGATGTGGTTTAGCTTAGGTACTACACAGAATATACCATAGGAAGCTTGTGCCGAGCAAGATTCCGGAAACGGTGCGAGGTTTGAGCCGTTATGCCGTGCACAGTGGCTTGCAGCTCTCCACAAAAGTCCTGTCACTGTCGAGCAGATGCTCCTCCACTCGTACTCTGTCCATGTGTGTTCCAAGCTGCTCCAAAGCAAGCAATGGAGCTCGTAGGTGCAGCACACGAGCAGCTCGGTGTGGCAGAAGCCTGCGACACCAAGATTTACCGACGGCTCAGGCTTGAGGGCTGTCAATTCGAGTTCACATGGGTTTGGCACCTTTCGGAGCTTTATCTTCCTGCAGCAAGCAATGCATCGACAAGTTCCGGCCACGGCAGCCACTTCAACGACAAATGGAACATTAAGCGAATACGTCAGGTTTGCGTTACGAGCTGCTTCGTTCGGAAACTTGGGATGGTCTTGGAGAATACCTACGCGTGAAACCCAACATGCACAACCCAGGCCAACAGCCTACAGGGTTACAGGTTTTTGCCTGCCCCGTGTTGGCTGCGCACTGCGGGTCGGAGTCCTGCATGCTGCCCAATGCCTGACAGACTGCAGTCGAAGAGGATTATGCACAACGTAAGAAGGATGCAAGGGGAAGAGATACAAAACAGTGAGAGCAGTCATTGGTGCCATGTGTTCTCCAGAACATCGGGATAAGGCGCCCTCGATTCGTTGTGATGCGCATGATGTCGAGACGAACGAGATGCGCGTTGACGGACCCGGGGTGATAATTCTGCAAAGCAAGCAAGCCCATGAAGTTGTCCGTCAGTCCTCATGCTAGGCTTGCCAGACCCTGAGACCGAACCTCTCTAATCTGATCTCATGGTGCAAATATATGGGCCTGAAGAATCGGAACAGGGTTCTGCGGTACATCAACTATAACGCTGTAGCTCTATGAAGGAGCCTTAAGGAATAGCACAATAAGTCAACGCCTGAGACATGGCCAGCTCCGTTGGTGGCAGGCCACGCTGCTGCGAAGCTGCAAACGCTCGCGACAGGTTCCTCCGCTGGAATACTGGGTTTAGGGTTTGCAGGTCCTTACTATAGGGTTTAGGGTCCTTACAATTATTGAAAAGATGTTCGTATACTGTGTTTCCAAGCGCATATGAGAGCTTCATGGACAAGACAAGAAGAGCTTTTCACTCGAAGCTTGCATGCTACAAATGACATCGTGGCAGCTGGGAGACTTACTCTGGGCTCTTGTTAAGGAACTCAGTTTGAGTTACCATGGCAAGGACACCATATAATTTGCTACAGACCCCTATTGTGGCAACTTAGGTAGACTAAGCCGCACTGTGTACAGGGAAGTCTTCCGAAGCTGCTGGACACCTCAACTTCTGGGCCACGATGCGAGAGGCCCTGCGGCTTGAAGTGCTGGGCCAGAGATCGGCTGCATATGGCCTCCACTGCTGTCACGCTTCACCCTACTCGTGCTGCTTCTCACCATCTGTAGTGGTGGTGGAAGTAGCAGTAGCAGCAATATTCAGTCAACATCATCAGCACAATGCTTGCTACCATGTGATATGACAACAGTATTACCGAGTACTACCGAAACCCTAAACCCTAAAGCTTCATAATTTGCCATCCGGAGCCCTGCCTCCAACAAGAGGGCGCCTCGCAACTGCAGAGTAGCGCGAGACTGTGCGCTGCTGGCTAGTTCCCGGGCAAGACCATCCTGCTTCGGGTCTGAGGGTTTGGGGCTTAGGGTCAGCTTGGGCTTTAGGTTTCGAGGATTCGGGGAGGCTTGGGTTCCCGCTTTAGGGTGTTGAGGCTTTGGGGGGGGGCGCAGGATTTAGGAACTGGGGTTTAGTCTTGGTGCATGTTGGGAGGTTGATTCTTGAGGGATCTTGAGTTTCAGAACTTTGGGCTTTTGAGGGTTTTGAGTCCCGTTTTTTCAAGAATTGAGGGACTGGGTTTCGGGACTACCTACGTCAGCGGCCATTTAAGGCTTCGGGGTTTGTGGATTGGAGGGGTCAGGGCTTTGGTCTGTGGGGGCGAAGGGGTCAGGCTCAGGGTTGAGTCGGGCTTTGGGCTAGAATTCGAAGATGGCTCTACAGCGACCCTATGTTGGGGGGGATTTGGAAGCTTGTAGTGTTCAGGTATAAAAGCAAGGCACTTAGAATACTCGAACAAACAATCTGGAGCTTTCCTAAACGCTTTACCCAATGAGGTTCAGGGTCTGAGGTCTACCATTTTCTTAACAATGGGTCTGCGGGATCTACCTGATGACTGGAGCTTTCATACTGTACTTACGGTAGGGAGCCTTAAACCAAACGATTGTTGCTTACGCACCCCGCTGAATCAGGAGCCGTTGCTCTTTCAGGCTTCCGGGTGTTTG